GGTAAAGATGTAGATGGTGAAAAGGTAGCAAATAAATTGGGGTTACCTGACATATGATTCGTAGCACCAGAGTCAATGACCCATTTTGACGCAGAGGAAATAAGACATTTATTGGTATTACCTGAATCAGCAATGACAGTGATTGGATTAGAGGATGATGCCATGAATAACTCTTGATACTGTTGGAATTTAGCAAACTCTTCCGCAGAAATCGTTACCATTAATTTCTTCTCAACTTCAACAATATGGACACAAACAAAAACGGCACTAAAACAGACCAAATCAAATCTGAAGGAGGAAAGGGAATCAAACTATACCAATTGAACAGAGCCAAGTGAACCAAATCAATTGAACTGAAACAAACGAACCGGACCAGAATCGGTATAAATCAACCAACCCGAACCGGAATTTGACGAACCAGGCCCAACTGAACTTGAACCGAATGAACCAAACCACTTGAAACCAAACCGGTTGAACGAGACCACTTGAATCGGATCAGGTGTTTTCTGAAACCAGAAACCCTAAGTGCTACCCCACGACAACCCGAGGGGTGAAGACGACGGGTGGCGACTGGCGGTGACGAAAGCACACGGCGATGGCATTTGGCGGCGAGATGAAACCTACGAACAACAATCGGAAAACAGCTAGATGTGTATAAGAGACAGATCATCAACATATACCACTAGTAAGATAACACTAGACTCAGATCTTTTATAAAAAAAAAACAGAATGATCTGACTTACTCTTCTTCATTCCAAAATTCTCAATCACCCGAGTAAATTTTCCAAACCATGCTCGCGGACTTTGTTTCAATCCATATAAAGATTTACGAAGGCGACATACCTTTCCATTCTCCCCTTGAGCAACAAAACCTGGTGGTTGCTCTATATAAACTTCTTCTTGAAGATCACCATGGAGGAATGCATTTTTAATATCAAGCTGATGCAAGAGCCAATGGTGAATAGATGCCAATGAAATGAATAACCTGACAGAAGTCACTTTAGCAACCGGAGAAAAAGTATCAGAATAATCAATTCCGTAAGTCTGCGCATATCCTTTAGCAACAAGGCGAACTTTCAAACGGGCAATTGATCCATCCGGATGAACTTTAACAGCAAACACTCATTTACAACCGATAGGTTTCTTTCCTGCAGGAAGAGACACTAAATCTCAAGTACCATTGTCATCTAAGGCAGTCATCTCCTCCAACATAGCAGCCCGCCAACCAGGATGAGACAAAGCTTCATGA